TAATAAAATTTGAGACATAATATTAAACATCAAAGATACTCCACACACGCGACATAATGTTGAACATCAAAGATATTCCACACACGCGACATAATGTTGAACATCAAAGATATTCCACACACGCAAATAATTGCTGATTACGTTTATAATTAACCGCGCAAATAATATAGAATTGAACAAGTGCTAGAGGTGCCGCAGAGCAAAGCGCAAAATGTACGACGATACGCGTTAATCAAAACCATATAAAATACGAATAATTGAATAAACCGTGAATATTTTTTATACGCAACAGTTAAATAATATCGAAACGGCGCCCGGCGAAAAGCGAGGGGGAGCTTGCCGCGCGGAAAAACCCAGGGGAAGCGTGCCGCGCGGCGCGGTGGTTGACTACGTCATCACTTTGGTATTCGCTCGGCGACTTCGGAAGGGGATAGACGTACGGCACGAGTCGCTCCGCGTGTAATCGCGCATTATTCTGCATTAACCCACGAAAATTAGATATCCACGAACGCGAATTGAATAATGTAAGGTCCAACTAGTAATGTTGCTCAAAACTACCTAAGGTGTGTACTAAGAATTATATATCAATCTTTATTTCTTTCGTTGTGATGATTACAGTTAGATAAAGATCAATTATGAATTATACATTTCCTTAAATAAGATAAATGCAAAGATAAATGTAATTTTTTACATTATAAAACAATTTGGAGTCAATATCATAATGGGTATAAAGATAATAGAATTCATATTATACGTTTACAGATATATAAATTAGAGATATCTAAGGGTGGTATTCATAGTCTGTTCTTATTTCAAGACTGTCTTAAGTAATCTTTTAAAACGTTAGTATGGCCCTTTTATTCATGACTTCTTAAAACTGTACTTAAGACAGTTTTGAATATAAACTCTGACTATGAATACCGGCCCAAGATATAGATGAGTTGTATGCATAACGAAGTTATCATCAAGAAGTAAAACGAAAATCGTATAATAAAGCATCGCGTAATGTTGATCGAAGAATATAATAACGAGTAAATTATTTTACTGATCTTGTATATGTAATATGCGTTTACTTTAATATTTCGACGGTTAAATTATCGGTGCGCGACCTTGAAGTGGGGATGGGGGTACGGTGTGGCACGGAGCGACGCGTCATGTTTACACGTAGTTACGACGCAGTGATTCTCTTACCGAAGTTCATACGGGCAGGTAGCCATGTCGCATGCCGCTCTTCTTTACATTCCTTTTTAAAACATAATCGCGAAAAATGTTAAATATAATTTGAACGTTGTACTTTATGAATAATTTATCATACTAACAATCGTATTATGTGAATATTCGTAAATTCAATGTTTCGTATTATATCTAGCATTTTTTGCGATTATTCGTTTAAAAAAAAAATAAGAAGAGCGTTACGTGACACGGCTACTTATACGAGTTATAATAAAGGAAAATCGTTCTCTTCGTGTAAATATCCAACGGAGAAGTATTCTCGTCGCCGATTTACTTAAAAATAAATGAACCGCAGTCGGTTCGTCGCGTCGCGCGTATCGGGAGTGCCGTTCAAGTTATCGGACTCAAATTGTAGTCCGCGCGCGATTAGTGTTATTCGCAAGTGTTGTATGCGAGTGTCCTGTGCGAGAGGATGACAACCATATTCTGAGAGGAGGAGGAGGTCTGGGAGAGACATCGGGCACCGGTGGAGCAACCTTGCGGTAAATATTATTTTTTACTTATGTAAAATTAACCTTTTTTACTTGTTTTTAAGTCATTTTATTTAACAGTGATTTAAAAAATGATTGTTTTTAAATCATTGTTAATAAAATGATTTAAATAGTTATATATTTTATAAAAGAATTATATAAAATAATTA